TCACCCCCACCACCTAGACTGCCTACACTCCCCTGGCTCGCGGATTTTCCGAAGTGCCAGGCGAGCGATGTGCAGCCTCGCCGCGTGGTCCCCCCCCAACCTCCTTAGCACCCTTTTTTTGTTTTCATGAGGCCTTTTTGGGTGTTATCTTGCTGCATGCTACTGTCTAAAAAGATACGCAACCGGCTCCCCCAATTTCTTCACGATTTGGGGTGCGGCAGCGGCGAGCGCGGACGAGTCCACAGTGCCAGTAAACTGTGGACGGTGGTGCGTTTTCAAATATACCCGCACAGTTCGCTGGCACTGTGGACTCGGCCGTGCTCGTCGCGGCCGCACCCCAAATCGTGAAGAAAGTGGGGGAGCCTGCGCAACGCCCTAAATCTGGCGTCTTTGTTACTGCCTTGCATCTCGCTTCCAGTGCGATGAGTATCAATAGTACGATTGCATCAGTACATGTCTAACACATGCTCGAACCGGAAGTGGGTCGCAAGGTATGATCACGGCCTTAGGCTGCTTTCATAGTTCGCATCGGTGCGGTCGGTGCCGACGGCGCCGACCGCACCGACAGTGTGAAGAGCGTCAATATGCGCTCTGGCGCATGACGCGTGCGCTGGGCGCAGATGGGGGGCTCCGATCGATGCCGTTGGTTTTTTGTGTATTTCTTGTGCTTTTCGATGTTTTTTTTTTTCGCGCCGTGTTGCATTCATTCGTGTGTTTTCTGTTCATACTTTTCTTTAATGTCTTGATTAATACTTTTCAGCTGTTCCACGACTTTGTTGAACCCCGTCGTACTACCCCGAGTGGCTATACTGGGTGAGTTCATCATAAGCAATTTTGTTAGGCGCAATGTGCCTCGGGGGGGGGGGCCAGTCGCCGCGCGCGCTCGTGCGGCAACAGGAAATTCGTGAGCCAGGGGGAGTGTAGCCAATTCAGGGGGGTTGGGGGTGAGGGCAGTCACATGACGGTGAGGGCAGTCACATGACATGCGTGAGAAGCTGGAATGTTCGAATTTCCTGTTGCCGCACAGCCGCGCGCGGTGACTGCCCCCCCCCCCCCCCCGGCGGGCGAGGCACATAGCGCAATTTTGTTTATTCGAGTGGACTCTATAAATTTAGAAATTGCTTTTTCTTCGATACGATTTCCTGCTGGTGTGCGAAAGGCCGCCGGATCTTGGTAATTTAATTATTCGCACACCAGCAGGAAATTGTATCGAAGAGAAAGCAACTACTGGAAACATACAGTTCACTCGAATAAACAGAATTGCTCATGATGAAATCACTGGGTCTTGAAGCCACTTCACACGGGGTTATACGACGTCGCTCGTCCGCGGAACAACTGAAAAGTACTCATGAAGACATAAAAAATAAGTATCAACAGAAAACACACTTATAAAAGGAAGACTGAAGACAAGAAGTACACCAAACCCAAGATTATCGATCGGAGCGCGCCATCTGCGCCCAACGTACACGTCGTGCGCCAGAGCGCATATTGACGCTCTTCACACTGTCGGTGCGGTCGGCGCCGTCGGCACCGTCGGCGCCGGCACCACCGATGCGCAAACTATGAAAGCAGCCTTACGACAATGGATCTTGACAGCTTTGCGAATAGATGGAATGCTGATCCAGTGTTTGGGGTAGAACTGAGGCTGAGTTTTTATTATGTTCTCGGTACTACACTATGGTCTCCCTTAAACGAAGACTCTTTGAGCCACAAGTTAAAGTAGAATATGCCCTGATCAACCACGCCAAGTTAAGCAACCACTGCCACTTCACTGTTCAACGAATAAACTTTGAAACAACAACTGTTATGTGAAACGGTCTGCGGTGTGGGGCCTATTTGACAATTCACAAGATTGCTGGAAGGTTCCGTACTGCTATTTACAGTGATAGTTGTAATCAGTAAATTAGTTTCCGAGCTTTGTAGAAGCTATATGATTGCCATAATGTGCTGGCCTTCTTGAACTAAAGTTTTGAATTCTTTTTTCCTGACAGTCGCGGCATCTATTTAACTTCTGCAGGAGGATCTCTTCTCATTCTAGGCCACAATGAGATGTTTATCTCGTTCAGGTAGAAAGTCATGGATGCTTATATCGCAAAATGCCTCTGGCTGGACACGGCTCCTCACCCACACAAGAAGAGACAGACCGCTTTGTTCGGCTTGTGCAGGGATTCACAAGAGTATGTTCATCAAACTGTTAACTTTCTTTGTGAGTCGCCTAATTGCATCATATTTTTAGGACCATCCAGGGGAGGTCGTTGGGGTCCATTGTACTCACGGGTTTAATCGTACAGGATTTCTCATCGCTGCATACATGGTTGTTGTAAAGGTAATCTGATAGATTGTGATTTGTTGGTATTTTCTACTTATGAATTTCTGCGCAGGATTGGGCTGTAGATTGTGCTGTTCTAACCTTCGCCAAGGAACGTCCTTGTGGAATTTACAAGCAGGATTATTTGGGAGATCTTTTCGAAAGATATGGCGATCCGGATGATTGTTTGGAGGTATTTTGCTTCTTATTTTGCTGATACTCAGTATTACGCTAAAAAAACCTGTGAGGGGTTTGTGTGTCGTGGAATTAATTGATATATTTTTGAGTTTCAGGCTCCAAATAAACCATCTTGGGAATATGGTGATGCAGTTGGTTACGACCCCGACAGCGAAGCATCGACCAGTGTCGCCCACCCTCAAGAGAACATTGAAAATTTGGAAAATGGAAAAGGTGTGCGCGAATTCGTTTGCAACAGTTTCGGGAAATTATTTCATTTTCTATAGAAAAACCCAAGGGCAAGCAGTTCATGGACGGCCTAGTTCGTGGAGTCGTTCTAGTCACGGACCCGTTGAAAAAGAAGATGCTGCAAGGAAAGGTATGCTTCAGTGATTAGGACGAGATGTGGACCACTAATACACTAACATTAATTTTGTCTTCTAAAATTTCAGATCAAGGAACTTGTTGGATCAAAGCGAGATGGGTTTCCTGGTCTTCAGCCTGTTTCTTTAGAAAGATCTCGTGACAATGACAACTTAAAATTGTTAGCACAACGACCTTATATGGTGTCATGGAAAGCGGATGGAATGAGGTTTTGATCTTCATGATTTTATGTTTTTGTAATATTGTGTTTCTCATAATAGTTTTTAGTCCTTCTGTGAATAATGCCACTTCTGTTTCTTCAGGTATATGATCTATATTTGTGATGAAAATGAGATCTATGCGTTTGATAGAGATAACGAGGTATGGTTGTTTTATCGGCAATTCCTGATCAGCATTTTTTGTACTACTTATGTCTTCTTTCCACTTATTAGCATTTTTAGTCAATTTTTATTTTTTATTTTCTGGGCTCCTTGTTCTTCCCATCTGCATTTCGCCCCCTCACTGATTTATTCACCATTGATATTTTCGCACTTATCAACCTTTTTCTTTTTCTGCAGTTCTTTTTTTACTTCCTTTCCTTCAGTGATCCCAAATTCTGCACCTTTGTTGATTCTATTCATAACTTTACGGCCCCCATCGATACTGCCTTTTGATTCACTAGTTCTCTTCCTCTACAGTGTTCTCCATCACGGTTTGCATTTTCTTCCTTTCATTCGTCTTTTCTTTCGTCTTTTCACGGCTTTTTTTATACAATGTCTTCTTACCCAGCACTGAAGAACTCATCCGCTTTTCCTATGCGCGATCGATTGAGCAGATTTTCCATTTTTATTTTGCAGGTATTTCTTATCCAAGGGCTGTCATTCCCGCACAGAAAACACCCGAGGCATATAGTGAACACTCTAGTGGACTCTGAAATGATATATTGATCATGTAGTTTGTTAACACTTCCTTCCACCTAACAGTCTTCTCGTGATCGCTTCTCATTGTATGTAACTAGGAAACAGCTATTATAGATTCTATTCAGGTTAAGGACGAGCACGGGAACACAGTTGATCTACCGCGATTATTAATATACGATATAGTTCATTTTGAGGTCTGTTTTTGTTTCAATTTGTGCTTCAATCATTGAAAATTTCGATATTCGGGACCTGTATGTCGCATTTTCCCATAATTCGTTATCTTCCCACTTTTTCTGTAGGTTTGATGCCTTGAGTTCTTGGATTTGTAGTGTTTTAAGACTAACTTTTCTGATCCGTACTTTTCAGGATATGCATGTCGGAAAGGAGAACTTCGATATCCGATTCATGTGTATTCGGCGAGAGCTCATTGAGCCGAGGAATGCTGCTATAAAAGTACGTTCAACTGAAGTAATCTGCAATCAGTGTCTTTCAGTCATTGTCGTTTAAAGTTTGGATCGTTATATCGCTTTAGTTTCTTTTTTTTTAACCAAATATTGATTGCATTATTGAAGCATACCGATGAAAATGAGAGCGCATTTATAGTCTCTAGGCAGGTCGTATTCGTAAAGAACGTGAACCCATGTCCGTCCGCGTGAAGGATTTCTGGGAAATGGAGGCCTTGCCGAAGCTTTTCGAGCCGAAGTTCACGAAGAATGTTGGACACGAAATTGATGGTCTCATTCTTCAACCGGTCGATGCTGTGAGTTGATCTATACAATTTGCGAAGCACTACTTTTTTGTTTTAGTCTTTGTGAGAGGGGTATAAGCAGATAAACAGGAGTTAATTATATCTCATTCCAGCCATACACACCTGGTCGCTGCGACATAGTTCTCAAGTGGAAACCGCCCTCCCACAACTCAATCGATTTCAAGCTTCAGATCAGAAAGTAGGTATTTTTTCTCAAGAGACTTTGAAGGCATACCATTTCTAAGGTGTCTTCATTTCGCTCTCGACAAAATGTCGAATGCCACGATGTACTCTACCATGGGGGCAGATTCGCCATGAACTGATACTGCAAGTCGCCGAAAGGGAGCCTTGAACCTCATCAAAGATCTGTATTCCGCCCCACTTGAGTCGTGGTAAATATAAAGGAAGCATTCTGATTATCGTGACGGTCGCAAAGAGCATTTTCTCACCAAACAGTCAGATACTGGCATGTAAATTATTTGCGCAGTACCTAGTTGAGACGAATCCTTCTAAGACATTACCTCGTTAATTTCCGTTTCTAGTAGGAGAAGGAGGGCATACTCTGTCTGCATCGATTAGTCGTGATTGCCGTTGCACGGCATAAAGCAGGTGCATACTTAACCCAGGCGCAATGCTGTTACGACAGCGACAGTTGGGAGTTTGGTAGCGGTAGAAACCTCCACACTACATTTACAGGAGGGGAGGGGCAAGAAGGTCATTTTGTTCATGTCACACATGGGTGAACTTTTCGTCGCACCGAGTGCCGCCCTTATTCCTTAGATGCCCTCTCTTAAGCAGAGGCAGGCAATCCTTCATGCTCACCGTCTTCAGAATATGACATCATCTGCCATTGCCGTCGAGCCAGTGGCCTACGTAATGCTCTAGCATGAAGCTGCTACATAAATTCTTCAATCGATTTACTGGTGGATAGTTTCTCATGGACAGAATACTTATCTATCTTCGCTCGTATAACTTCGTATAATGTATGCTATATTTTTTATTTTATTTCCTGTTATTATTTTCTTTTTGATCATATGACACCATTTCTATTGTGTGTTCGATTGATTATTTGATATATTTGTGTTGGTGTTGTTCGTATATTTTTTAACCTACTCAGTGATGCTTTTTGTTTGTATTTGTTCTTCTTTTGGTGTTTTTATTATTTTTATCCCACCAATATGTTTTATTATACTGTTATGTGATCGTTATGATTCGAATTGTGATGTGTTTCCGTCTGCTATCTTGGAATTATCAGCGTTTTGGTTTTTACATCTGGGTACCAATCATGGATCCACTAAACGCTCCAAGGAGTAAGGAACCGAATGCACTCATTCTGGATGGGAAGGCTGTGTTTCCGAGACGGCCACGAGCAATGTCAGCATGGTGCGCAACAGAATTTGGTGGCACTTCGCGCACTCGTTCCGCCGAATGTCACGAGAGATGGACATTAAGGAGATTACTTGAGAATTCCCAAGCAAATTGCCATCTTAAGATTTGAAAAACATTGTTTGATCTTTCATAAGGAAGGGATTTCCATAAGGCAAGGGTGGTGCAGAACTGGTCAGAGCCAATTTTGTCGAATTCATCACTTTCAACGAGTTGGTCAGCATTTCAGATTCAATATAAATGGGTTACACTGTGGAATTGATTCTGTAAGCTGAAAGCTTGCATGGAACTTCACATTTTTGGGGATTATTTTGAAGAATTGCTTCAGAATACGTAGGACGGGTTCCACGCACCACCTTGCGTGCCACCGTCGATGGTTCCTCACTGCTTCTCAAGGCCCGTATAAGTGCCAACGAAGGAATTTCTGAGATTTGGCAGATGTTTACGATTCATTATTGAACAGTGAACGTTACTGCATTTTTGGCTTCCTGGAATTGTGGCGTGTTCATTCTAGGCAACTCGAAATCGCTGTCTCCGTAATTTTGGCGCACCCTGTAGAAACCAAGTGGAAAGTTTTTCGATGAATTAGAGTGCGCCCTTCAATTTTCAGTGCGTTAGATTCAGTTTCAATACAGCAGAGTGTAATTATTTTCGTTTTTGTGCAGAAGGAGAATGATTTTCTTTGGAGGATTATTGTTCGAAATAGCTGATGTATCAATCCCAATCAGTGATTGCATACTTTAACTAATTCTTGTGTGTACGGGATTGTCTGCTTGTCACGGATCACGGTATAACAACCTACCTACGGTGCTAGCGTCTCCTTTGGAAATTTATTTCGCTCATTTTCAGAGTTGTGAAGGAAGGAGAATTACCACAGCATATCGGTTATCTCTATGTGCAACACGCAAACGAGCCGATGGCGACAATGAAGGCCACTAAAAAGTTACTTCCTTATGACAATAAAATTATCGAGTGTACTTTTGAGGTATGAATCGATTCTAACTAATTTGTCATTGTATTTGGAGAGGGAGGTGCGGAGGCATGAGAGAGGGCTTTGCATTGAGGGCGAAAGACGAAGTGTTTTGTGATCACTGCAAATGCCATAACCCCACAATTTCAATAAAAATTGCTCATTGATGATCCTTCTTCAAGCTTTCGAGAGTGACTGTGCTTCCACTTCCCACGCCCAACGCACTGGTCGCATAACAGTTCTTAGTACACGTCAGACCTGCCTTTTTTTATAGTGACTGAAGGCTTTTTTCAGAATGGTCAATGGGTGTTCATGAGAGAGCGAACGGATAAATCGCTGCCGAATTCATTGAAAACGGCACAGGCGGTGTTCAACAGCATGATGCATCCCATCGATAAAAATATGTTGATAGAGTGAGTTTCTTGGGTTTATTTTTGGCTTTTTTAATTTGTAATTCTTGAGCGGCACAAATTGTCGGCGAAGTGAAATGTGCTCTATTATAACTGGCTTCGCTTTCTTAGTATTATTACTAGGTCTTGCTTCGCTTTTGAATTAACACTTTTGCTGCCTTTCAGTTTTGTTGCAAAATACGGGTACAAGAGGAAGCCTTCTCGAATAGAACCTGAAAAGAAACGACCCAGGAATGAATAGCAATTGAGTTGCCGAGACCATTGCCTCACAAACATCGTGCAAATGTGTAAAAAATAGTTCCGAGAATTAAATCTAGGCATCTTACTGATTCACTGTATACCCCTACTTCAGCTTGTGCAGTTTCTTTCTTGTCTTTTTTGTTGTTTCTTTTTTACATAGTCTCAAATGCGATGCGTTTCGATAAGAACAGGTACTAAACATTGTGTTGAAACCGCTGTAGATTATTTTTAATATCTATCTAGGAATCGTTAAATGTGTTATCAATTATTGCCTATTGAGGAATTGTAATCACATTTTTAAAAGTGTTTCTTGCCTAAGTATTTCTTCGTTTCTATATGTTCACTTGACAGTTTTGTCTCAGACTTTGACGTTTGTGTCAAAATGTTAATGAATCATTCATTTGATCTCTTCTTTGTGGAATATCATATGTAGCGATTTGTTGAATTCGGCAAAGCTGTGAAAGGCCATGTTTCTTGGAATAGGAGAAAAACCAACCACCAACAAATCTGAGGTCCATCTCAGTGCTGAAATAGCGCGTTAACGTAACGGTGTTAAAGCCATGTCTAGAAGTGAGTGGTGTGAACACTATAATCAGCTAAGAAAGACCAAATCAGCATTCGGATATCCATGTTTTCTAATGTCACCAGTTGTGATCACACCCGCCTTTGCCATACGTGCAAGATGCGACAATCGACAGTGTACTCGCGGCCATAGGTTCTAAAGACACGTAGAAAGATAGGAGTACACGTTCGTCGGAAACTAAACACTAGCGTTCAGATAAATGTAAGATTGTCAACGAAGTACCAATAAGGTAGTGTTAGAATCGTTCTATCTCTGAGCTTTATATGTTATAAGTTTTCTTGATGTTGGGAAATCGTTCAAGTGGCCTTACTGGTAAGCTTTCGCGATTCCAGCAGTTCTTCAGACAGAAAGATTCAGCATTCATAGTACACAGTTCTTGGTAAGGATCAAGCCATTTGAAAGTGGTGACAAGTGCGATGTGCGAGACAAATAAAAATACTCAACAAGTTGAGGACAGCGCGCGTTTCGGCTTCTTTGGTCGCGTGGGACAGAGGTTTTGCGAGTGCGGCAGCCTCACCCTTGAATTTTCAGTGATAACCAACGTGAGGGCGGAAGTGGTGTAGTGGCAAGTGGCACGCTTACCACGCGAGCGGTCCGGGGATCAAATCCTGGGTCGTGAGTCGCCCGGGCCAACCAAGCCTTCCATCCCTCCGGGGTCGGTTAATTGGTACCAGACTTGTCTGGGAGGATAAAAACACTGACTTGTACATCGGCTGGCCCCCGCAAGTCATTGTATAGGCCACATCGCATTCAAACGCCACTACGAATGTACAAATGGAAGTAGAATGCGTGCCGCATCCCAAAAAGGGATTGATCAACGGCAAAT